GGCACGATAATTGTATATTAAATTTGCTTTTTAGAGAGACAATTTGTATCTTACAACTTTCGACAACATTATTTGAAACATTGTTCCCTATTCCTATGACCTTTAGTGAGTCAATGGGATTTGTTTTTAGCGCTAGACATTCTTGTAGCGATTTGGAAATAAAAGATGATTGGCTGCCGCAATCTAAAAGTGCGCGTACATTTTTGTACTTGTGGGACAATGGATTTGAAACTTTAATCAAAGCCGTGGATAATATTACTTGGGTTGAATTTCGTATTGATAAATTAACCGTCGAGTGGCTACATTCACCAACAGTTAGATGGTTATTAACAGAAAAATTTGCACGATGAAGTAAGCTGTTGTGTCGTTTTTTACACTCCCGGCATGGTCCCATGTGACATTCACTTGTAGGATGACCCTGCCTGAGACAATTAATGCACAGCTTGTATTTAGTTACATCCTTCAATCGCTCATCAACTCCCTTCGCCTTAAACACAGGGCAATCGTATATTTTGTGATTATCATTACAAACAATGCATGAATGAACATTTGTTTTAATGTATTTAGAATTAGAATTTAAAAATGATTTTGTATACGCTCCACCTGACTTATTATTGTTAGGGTGCATTATTGCATTGCGTGTATTACCTACTTGAGGCCTAGGGGTTATAGTGTCATATTTGTTTCGATTCAAGGCTTCTAGTACGTCTGCTCGATCAATAATAAATTTATAGAACTGCTCTAATGTAGGCGTATCGCCATCTAAATTATTACGGTATTCTTCCCATTTAGTTAAAGTGTTGCTATCTAATTTTGAAGTGATCATAAAAATTATCAACACATCCCATTTGTCCGTTGGTTGGCCTAAGCTAGCCAAAGCACGTAAGTTTTTTGTAATATGATCGACTAAAAACCTTAAAGACCTTTCTGACTCTCGAGGAAGCGGCTTGACATTAAATAAACAGCTTAAATGATGATTAATCAGAATTCTTTTATTATTATAACGAGAACATAATAATTTCCACGCTTCTGCATAGTTTGTGGATGAGACCTCGAGGTTTGAAACTATCCGAGCCGCATCACCTTCTAAATACGATATCAGGTAGTGAAACTTATGAATAGGTGACATACGCATATTATTATGAATTAAATTTTCGAAAGTGTCACGGAACTCTAACCAACGGAAATATGCTCCATCAAACTTAGCTATTTGAATCTGAGGAAGTTTTAAACCGATTTCTTGATCTGAACAGTAAGAATTGTCAAGAATCGAGATCCGTCTCTGCTCGCCTTCTGTTTTCTTTATAAATTTATCTAATAATGTTTTAGCAGTAGCGATATTAATAATAATATCGCGTTCGATATTGTCGCGCTCATCAATTTCGGTAGAAATATTTTCAAAATTTAGAACCTCTATTTCATTTTGCAAGTCATCCACCCGAACCGACAATGCCTCGAACTTTGCAAGTTTAAGACTTAATTCCGTTAATTGAATACTATTTAATTCAATCATATTTGCTATACCATTTAAATAATTTTTGGATTTAGTAATTTGACCCTTGGCCGAAGATCGTTTCGTAATAAGGTCCTTTAAGCGACCTTTATCTATATTATCGTTAGGCATTGTGAGTTAAAAGTGACAGAGAAAAGAATTAAATTTAAAAGTAATAATTATTATTACTTTTGAATAATAATAAATAAATAAAGGCTCACGCTCCTCGCCTCGATGGCACCCGCCGACAGCACGCCAACCAGCTCTGGTCGCAGCACAACGCTGCCGCTGCTCAAAGCTGTGCCGCGAAGCAACGATAATATCTGGAAATATCGGCGAAATGGTCTAAGCACACGGCAAAATAAATTTAAATTTAAACACAGGGAATATAAAATATAAAATATTTTATTGCTACTTTTTACGATTTTTTTTTTTATTAACAAGATATATCCAATTTTAAATTGTTTTATAATTAATCAAAAATAAGTTTTAAAACAATTGATACCTTTATTAATACGTCAATTGTATAAAAGAAGCAATAATGCTTAACAATTTCACTTATAATTTTAAAGCCGGTAGATAGAAATTAAATGATGATGCAATATTTCTCTTTGTTTAAAACTTTAAATATAATCGAGCAACAATAAAAACTAGATTCAATAATCTTGTTTTGCACAAATGAATTGGAGATTCTTAACAATCGGATGAATATTTAGGATAGAATAAGGAATTGAGTATTAGGAGTATTACAGGAGTATTAGGGAAAGTCACTTATCTTTTGCCGATATTGAGCAAACGATGTGATATTTTAGATATATCACTGCCCGCTTGCCAGGTATAGTTGTCCTCTCCCGGCAGCTCCTTCTACGAATCTTCTTCTAGCACGTGGTCCACTAAACGCTTGCCGTTTTGAAATATTTTGCAATTTTTTCCTCTTCTATCAATGTATTTTATATTTAACGTTTAGATATTCCCCTCATGGGCCACCATTTATGTATATTTCTTATACACTGGTGCCAAATTAAACGATTAATACTTTATAAATTGGTTTAATATAAGAGGTGTGTACAGCGTTGCGATCGGAGAGAGAATAGACAGTGACAATTGATAATTAATAAAGATCATCCTTTTAACAAGAAATATTATACGACGTTAGTTTACTAATAGTGTTGCCATTATAAAAGATCAAGAGCAAACAGAAAGGTAAAATTAATAAATTATACAAAATTAATTATGTAGGCGTTGTGCGCCGCAACAAGATTATTATGTTATTTTCTATTGTTATACTAATTGTATACAACAAATGTAACAGAACGGGTCAGCAAGATATAAAAATTAAATAATCTTCAGGGGGCGAATGTATTATAATTTCTGCAATGTTAGTAATTTGACGATAGTACATTTTACCTTGCACCGCACATTTCTGTGTTCTGTATTGTTTTGCTGTTTTGGTTTTTATTTTAATTTTTGTTATGAGAAAGGGGGTATCACAAATTTACACGCAATAATACCTTCTTCAGCATAGTTTTTATTTATTTTATTATCAAACTATTAATTCTTATTTTTCTTACTAATTGTTCATCATCACAAAATTGTTCATTGATGTCAATAACTCTTATCAAGCAATGAAGTTAATAGATTACGTAGTGATCTGCAGCGGTTCGAAAGAAAACATTTTTAAGATGTTTTATCAAGTCTCAATATCACCAACACATAAACAAGCTTATTGCTTTGGACAAGTAATGCTACAATGGGACGTTGTAAAGCAAATATGATATGTATTAATTTTCTCCATGTGTTTCGCGTTAAAAATTTAAAAGGCAATGAAAAATAGTATACACAAATACTTCATTATTTGGTTATCTTGATAGTGATTTTTCTGCTGAATCAGACTTTCAACAAACTTTCAATATCAGAGCTACATATTTTAATCAAATCGTCTCCCTACAGTATTGTTCCTCGAAGAGATTCTTATAAGTGCGACAAATAAAAGTTTGTTCAAACAAGTTTCTAAAACCTATTCAACACCGAGTGAAATCAATTGTTGTTGTTGAACGAGGAGTACGAGACAGAAACGAAGTAAGTTACAAATAGTGAGTCATGAATTATAAATTTTATTAAGCTATAAAGGTATAAACAAAATACTCGTATCTAGGTATGTTAAATTATGAAATAAATAATGATAAGTATTTAGGACTTGTGGGGACATTTTAAATATTTTAACTTCAACAACTTATATAATTTTGCACGCAAACATATTCGGAAGGGCAGGGCGGGAATTGGACTTTACCCCCAATATGAAAAGTGGTGGCTGCGTCTCTCACACCTTGATTAATTTTTCGATGGAATGGGAGTAAATTCACAATATTACATAAAAATGACAGCAAGTAATGTCAAATATAATTAACAACATTACCGTAATACTTAAAAATCCATTGAATAAAGCACTATATATTTTACTATTTGCTATTTTAAAACTATGTGTTATGAGTTGCTTCCTGTAACAATATAGGTTGTAGGTTATTTTTGTATAGATACGTATTTCCTTTAAAATTTCCGCGTACATCACTGTTATCAGAAGTTTCTAAAAAGTTAAAGGTTAATACGTGAAAAGACCGTGATGGATGGTGTGTACTTTAAAATAGTATAACATTTCTATATACTACATAAATATGATCGATTTTGTAAACACCTGTGACAATTTAAAAGCAAAGTCAAATATACAAAACTTACGTCTCGTAAAAAGGTACTATGAATGCTAAGTTAAAAGTTCTATTTCACACATTCGGTGAAGTTTTTCTGATAACGGAACTTTTATTCAGAAATCAAGATTGTATATAAATAGTTCTAGCTTTAAGATCGACTTTAAGAAAAGTGTTTATAAATCAGTGTTACAGCCAGTAGGAACTTATTATTTTAATGAGTATTTACAGCTGTTTTCAGCTTAAAGGAATAAAAATTAAACCAAATATAAATAAAAGCTCGGGATCATAAAACATAAAGTATGCACTTTAAAATGCAACTCAATTAAGAAATTGTAAAAAAAAATATTTTAATGATTTTATGATACTGCGATGTTATTATTTTAAAGTAAGCCCAAACAAATTGATTTGAAAAGATTACAGATATCGATACCTCCCACGTAAGTTGTTGTATCTCCAAAAGTGTAATTTTACAGTAGAGCGTTTCAAAGATTCAATTTAAACCAAAATCTGCATTTATGGATGCAATCTTTTAAAAATTCGTATTTAAATTTAAAACGGTTACGGAAAATGCACCATTCAAGTTTCTCGGTCGTAAGATTGATAATATAGGTCGTACTCCATCTTTAGAAGGAATAGTAGATAGCTTTTTAAATGATCTCAACAAGGTAGATAGCCAGCAGATCAGTAACGTAAAAAAAGCATGGATCTACGATAATTACTTAACTTCACGTTTGAATTGGCCTTTCCTCGTCTATGATTTTAGTAAAACCCTTTTATCTAAATTAGATGCAGGCGTCATAAAGATGTTGAAGTTGTGGCTCGGGCTCGCGCTAACGGCTGATTCATCGGCTTTATTCAGGGATCGTAATAGTTTTGGGATGAATCTAAAAAGACCATCGGAGCTCTACAAACACCTAAGAGTTTCCAAGAGACATATCCTGGGAAAATCCCATGATGACGTCGTTACATCACTCCCAAAAGACAATGATGCCCCAGAGCTAGAGTCACGACTTCAATTCCATAAACAATTTATGATCGGAGCGCAAAATAACAGAGTAGGGTTAGGATCAAGTAGGAAAGTCCAAGATACGGATATATTGAAGTCTTTTATTCGGCAAGACGAGAACGATAAATACAAGATCCATGCAATGAGTTTAGAAATGCAGAACGAGTGGTTAGACATAGGAGATTTTTTGCATTCCACTAGCACTAAAATGGCGCACCCTAATTCATGACTGGTCGCCAGCCTTGCTAAAATTTTATCTCAATGCGTTCCAGATGACTCTCCCAGATCAGAGTAATTTAGTAAGATGGGGTAAAGGTACCGAAAAAACTTGCTATATCTGCGGAAAGGCAGTTGGAACTGCCAAGCATTTGCTGGTGGGATGTAAGGTTCTCCTGGACAGCGGTCAATACTCGCGTCGTCACGATAGGGTTTTAGAGATCATACGTGAAGCGGTTAGTCTTTCGGTAGCCAGAGCGCAAAGGGAAATAACCACAAACGAGCGATCAATAGGTTTTGTGAGAGAGGGCACCAGGGCTATAAAATCAAACGTCAAGCCTTACTCAATCCTTAAAGCGGCTTCGGATTGGACTATCATGATGGATACGTATGAGAAACAATACAAAATTCCCGAGGATATTTGTGCGTCGGCCTCCAGACCAGACATATTTCTATATTCGCGTATTTTAAAGCGCGTTGTGATGATAGAGCTTACGGTGCCTTGGGAAACCAACATCCCCAAAGACCATGCCATCAAGGTCAATAAGTATTACGAGCTCACTAACGAACTAACTCGAAATAGGTTCGTCGTTGATTTGTACGCGGTAGAGGTGGGAGCGAGAGGTATAACAGCTAAATCTCTCTATAACCTACTAAAAGACTTGGGCCTGTCCAGAACTAACATTAATTCATTCTTAGAACGTACGTCGAAGGCAGCCCTAGTAGGTTCTTTTCAAATTTGGTTAGGTAGGGAGAGGAACTTGGACAGTGGAGGTGAGCGTATAACGCGCGTTAGTTAAGGGGCCCCTTAAACCTACACCTGGGTCGCAAGTCCCAGGCACTGTTGAAGCTCCTCTCCCTGCAACGCGATGGACCCGGCACCCGCACGGTGAATCCATCGAATGCTAAGAGGTTTCGTCTCTTCTTAACTACGTTAAAAGTTATTTTAATTAATATGCCTATTTGCGGAGATAATGCTGTTACATTGTTCGTACGACATTATACTCCGGAGTAGAAGCTAAAAAAGGCGTTGTATCCGATACTTACAACATTATACAGCGGGGCCCAAATAGCAATATCACTTGTGGTATATGATAGTTACAACTGTATACGTTGAAAAACATAAATCTTACTCTGTTGTATGTAACTCATACGCGGCGTGAGTGCGTGATTTTACCCACCTTGCGCCCACGTAAACAATTGCATAGGCATATACATCAGTTTAATCCGTTCGCGTTTGAAAATTACAACACTATACGTCTGGAAAATCCTTTAAAAATAGTGTTTTTGTTGTTTTTTTAATTTGAATGGATGTAATGATCAATAATAGGATATTTTTCATAAAAAAAGCAAAATAGCATTTTTGTGGCTTACAACAACTTACGTGGGAGGTATCGATATGGATAGGTACAGTATTTAGATGTTTTGAGACTCGCATATATGTTACAAAAAAATCCCAGCCACGGAGACTATAGTTGAAATTAACTAGAATAGAGTAAGCGTTTTCTTTAAATGAAATGAATTCGTTAAGGTACTTACGAGTACATACAACTACATGTCTACTACTTTAAGTCTCTTGTTCATTGTTATATTGGACGAGTGGTATTGATTCAGGCTAGAGGTGAAAAGCATTAAGATTCAACGAGATAACAAAAATAATGTAACATTATAATAATAATTATTCCAGTATCAAAAACCATAATTCTATAGTTAGAATAGAATTCAATCTGAACTAAAGAAAAGGTAAAATTATAGAACCAGAACGAGTCTATTGCCGAGCCATAATATACGCAATATGAGATACGATGTAGGTAAGATATGGATATTATACTTCATTGATAAGCAAAAGGCATCTGACTTTTAAATACACTTAATCTTAACAGTCTTTTCTCGTAAAGTCAAGACGTTTGTTGTAAATCATGAATAAAATCTAAAACATGGTGAACAGGAACTATGCTTGTTGTTAGAATTTTATACGTTTTTTCGTCCTCTCTGTAATTAAAGTGGTTTTGATGTTACAGTCTAATCTAATTTATTATTATCTAATATATTATGAACATTTTAGTTTCAAAAGAAACACATTTCCTCCTAGAAATCTATATACTTTAACGCATGTATTATATGATCAAGAATTTTATTAAGAGCCAAATTACAGTAAGTTTAGAAAAATGTCACAAGCAATAAACTAACTTTATGATGGTTTTTACTTAACTTTATTTCCGTGGGCTGGAGAATAATACTAAATCACTTTTCCGTTCTAAGTTTCTTGAAATATGTTTTCACCTCTGACTTTAACACGCAGTCTCCTTTTGATGTTTGGTTAAATGTGTCTTAAATATTTTCAAATTGCTACATATATATTTGTATATAAATGTATGTATTTATGTATTATATGCTTAAGATGAGCTGATAGGAAAATATTTTATATTGTCTCATATAAAATTTTATAATGGTTAAATATGACACGTTTCTGTTTTATGTAATCCTAAGTTTAAAGATACAAGATTTTTAAGAATTGTTACTGAGGGCTACTAAATTATATTGTTAGTCACCTTTCTTTCAATATACATATCAAATGAGTTATTATTATATATTAAAGTAATAACTTTACCAAATGTCGAACTTTAAACAGTACTGCTTACCTACAATTTATTGATTGCATTGCGTTTATGTGGTAGTTTGTCCGAGGTGGTACAACTACATTACCGAAAATTGAATTGGAGCAGAATTAAATAGTTATAAACTTATCGGAATTGCAAAGCTGAAAAGGATATTTATTAAAACTACAGCTTTTCATATGCCTGCAAAACTTTATATAAAGTAGAGGAGAAGACTAAAATTTTCACAGCGTTGCAAGTTTTCACGTAAACATAACGTTAATGCTCTTATTAAATCAATTTTTAATGCTGTTCTAATAAGAAATTGAGCCAGAACAAAATGTGCTTGGTATAATTTTAAATTATAATAAGGGGGAACATAACATATGTACATTATAGAATAAGTTGGAGCATACATTTAAATTAGAATTTACAACAAGCTAAATTTACGCTAAAATTTAGGTGAGGATAGAATTGTTTTAAGATTATTATATTAGAACCAACTACAATAAGCAGATGGATACTCTACTAAGAGTTGAATACAAATTAGATTTACTGATATTATTTAATTCAATGAAGACACTAATTCTGTAAATTAATCTTAAAATAGTAATAAACATAAGGAACGTTTGTGCTGCACTTCAGGGAAGTATCAGAAGAAACTTCATTTTAAAAAGTATATATTGATCTATATAATAAAGATTTCACTAGCATGTGACTTAATATTTGTTAATAAATCAGATTTGTAACGTTAAATTTGTATTTGAAGGAATATGTGCGGTTCTGTTTGCACGTTATTATGTATTTTAATAGAGTTTAATTATGCCTGTAGGTGGTATAAAGATATGTAGTACTAATAATATTTTAATGTGAATAAACCTGTGAGCATAAGCAAGTGTGATAATAAAAAGAGCAATACCTCTGATGTGTAATTGCCTTCGCAAGTCATGCACATTGAACATTCCAAGTGGAGGAATTTTATCTTCGAGAATTGTAATTTAGAAACTTTATTGGTAATCTTTCATCTGGGAATGGAATTGAAATTAAAGAACCTACTGTCTATATTCCAAAAGTCTAATTAAACCTATAAATTCCATGAAAAATAATAAATTGATGAAACCTTATATTCATAAATTAGAGTTGTTTAAATATAAGGCTACTTATACATGAATATTTGAAACGATTTGAAGTACGTAAATAATTAATTTGCATAATGATATTCTACAATAACAATTTAGCATTTATATAACCGTAGCATTATGGTATGGAGTGACTACTTGGGAGATTAAATTATATAGCACCTATTAAGACATGTAAAATATGATAATGGATTGTATGTGATAGATTTCGAGATTAAATATTAAAGTTTCGGATATCATTATCAATGGAAGACCTAGTCGTTGAAGATTTTAGACATTAAAAATAGTTTATAAAATGCATCCGGACTTAAAAAGTTTTGAAATTTAAAACCTTATTATTTTTAACTGCGTTTCACACACAAATCTAGCAGAGAACAAAAGTAAAGGATCTTATTTTTGCTTCATATTACTCTCTGCTAAGGAGTCTTATTTGTTTATTTATTTCTATTTCAAAAGGAGAGTTTCATAGATTTCAATATCTTGGTCGTTCCTGTATATTAAAACATTTGTTCAGTATAAATGTACATTGTTTTATCACTGTCAGAAGCAAACATATTTTGTAGCTTGCTGAAAAGGATTACTTACACAAATAAAATTTAAATCAGAAGTTGATTCATTGTACTTTCTCGTTGACCACTTATATTTTACTCTTTGTGATGGAATCTAGCTGCTACAATGATAGCGTATTGTTAAAACTCTACAAAAATAGTTTTATCAATGAAAATTTGGGTCAGAGCTGTTGTAAGAAATAAGAATAAGATTATTATGTAATTTTGTATTATTGTATTAATTTTATACCACAACTGTAACAGAACGGGTAAGCAAGATATTAAAATAAAATAATCTTCAAGGGGCGAATATAATTTCTGCAATGTCAGTTATTTGAAGATGGTACATTTTACCTTGCCCTGCACATTTCTGTGTTCGGTATCGTTCTGCTGATTTGTTTTTAATTTTGTTTTTTGTTATGAGAAAAGGGGTATCACAAATTGTCACACAATTATACCTTCTTCAGGATAGTTTTTATTTATGTTTTATATCAAACTATTAATTCTTATTTTTCTTACTAATGTTGTCGCAAAATTGTTTATTGATGTCAAAAACATTTTGCCAGCAATGAAGTTGATAGATTACGTAGTGAGTTGCAGCGGTTCGTAGGAAAACATTTTTAAGATGTTTTATCTATTCTCAATATCACCAATACATAAACAAGCTCATTGTTTTGGACAAGTAATGCTTGTAAATGGAACGTTGTAAAGAAATTTTTGTATGTATTGATTTTCTCGAAGTGTTTCTGGTTAAAAATTTAAACGACAATAAATAATAGTATACACAAATACTTCATTATCTGGTAATCTTGACACTGATTTTTCTGCTGAATCAGACTTTCAACAACTTTCAATACAAAAGCTACATAGTTTCATCAAATCGTCTCCTTACAGTATTGTTCCTCGAAGAGATTCTTTTAAGTGCGACAAATAGAAGTTTGTTCAAACAAGTTTCTCAAACCAATTCAACACCGAGTAAAATCAATTGTTCTCTGATGGTGTATCTTAGACTTTCTTCTCTTACAATATTTACGAATGAGTAAACTTACAAGGTCACATAGAGGTTCTTGAGAAAAGTTCATTAATTACATTTATGTGACTATTGATTTTGAAACATGAAGTCCAAGAATATCCTTTTTAATAATAGTTCCAATTGTTTTGACCTAAAAATCTTATGTCATAGTATATTGTTACATCTAAATATGACTGTTATTTACTGTCGTATAATAAAATAACTTAAATACTTTTTTTATAAAAAAATCAATTCTGATAACTTTAGTCTCTGTTTTTGGGTGTTTAAAATTTGCAATAAAAACGTGGACCTTCGGAGTTGGGGAACCACTTTGGAAATCACAGCTCTAAGAAAATTAGTACAACATTTTAATATTTTATTGATAAAACTATTTACATTACATCATATTATAGTTGGTTCGTTAATTCCTTGCTTCTTGTTATTTACTGACAAATTGATATGACTCTGAAATGACTTCCTAGCTGACAAGGGTAGGTTTATATC